TAAACTAAACAAGTCTCTCTATGGATTGAGACAAGCATCAAGACAATGGTACCATAAGTTTTATACTACTATATGCAACATGGTTTCAAACAGTCATCAAATGATTATTCCTAAATACCAAAGGTAGTGGATCTTCAATAATTGTTCCATTAGTTTACGTGGATGACATAGTATTGGCAAGTCCTAATCAACTACTAATACAACAGACTCAAACATTGCTCCAGAGTATCTTCAAACTAAAATTATTGGGTAATCTCAAGTATTTTCTAGGGTTAGAGATTGCTAGATCAATAAAAGGTATCCACCTTTGTCAAAGAAAATACACACTTCAGCTGCTTATGGATATTGGCTTCATTGATGCCAAACCTCTTTCTTTACCAATGGGTCTAAATACAATTTTCAACGATGATGTTGATGGGCCAGTTCTGGAAGATATTTCTCAATACAGAAGAATGATAGGGAGATTATTATACTTGCCAATATCAAGACCAGATATTTCTTTTGTTGTAAACAAGTTAAGTCAATACATGGCTAAGCCTAGACTGCCTCATACATGACATACATCAAATATTTCACTACTTAAAGGAACTTCAAGACAATGCATCCTTTTCTTTCCAAGTTCATTTCTGCATGTCTCAGCATACTCAGATGCTGATTGGGGCAGTTGGAATTTAACCAGAAAATCAACAAACCGGTTTTTGCATATTCATTAGATGCTTGGAGATCTAAAAAGCAATCTACTATTTCAAGATCTTCAGATGAGTCAGAATATAGGGTTTTAGCAGCTATGACTTCAGAATTGTTATGGCTAAAACAATTGTGAAGATCTTTTGGAATAAGTGTTCCATCATGCAAAGTATTTGTGATAGTACTTCAGAAATTCAGATGACAAATAATCTATGAGTCATGAAAGAGTGAAACAAATGGATATAGATTGTTACTTCATTAGAGAGTATGTGGCTGCAAGTTTTATAAAGTTGATTCATTTCAAAGCATCAACTTGCAGTTCCTCTTACTAAAGCTTTCACAAAGAGTTTGTTATCTAGTCTTATTTTCAAGTTAAACATTTGTAACATATACCTCCAAATTTGTGGGAGAGTATTAAGTGTTGGAAATAATTTATATTTTAGGAATATCTAGGAATATTTTTTTATATCTTTGTTAGAGGATATTTTAGTATTTTATTATACCCTAATTTTGTGTATAAATAGCCTAGTAGTAGGTAGGTCAATATAATTCATTATTCCTTATTTTGTAGCCGTCGTTAAATATATTCCTTTTGTCTTTCATCTATCCTTTTTGCACCAACAATTGATATCATAGCTCCGGTTTGAAATCCACGGGGAAACACGAGTGAAGAATTAGGTATTGTGTCATTGAGAATCGTTTTTTCTAATTCTGTGGGATTTGGGAAACACTGTGTTTTAGTGAGTTTTTTGAGTGAATTGCACAAGGTTGAAGATGAACGAAAACGACGATATAAATTCCAAGCTTCCAGCATTTGATGGAAAAAACTGGAATCGTTGGAAGATCCAGATGCGTGTGTTGCTTGGTTCTCAAGACATGTTAGATCTTGTCACCGATGGCTATGCTCCGTTAGCAGCAAACGCGACAATGGCTTAGAAGATTACACAGAAGGCGCTAAGGAAGAAAGATCAGAAGGCGTTGTTCTACATCCATCAATGTGTGGGTGCGAATACGTTTAAGAAGATTGCTGACTCTAAAATGACAAAGGCTGTGTGGGACACACTGGTCAGATGTTACGGTGGTGATGCATCAGTGAATAAGGTGAAGCTTCAGTCTCTCAGAAAGCAATATGAGAATCTTAACATGAAGGACAACGAGAAGGTTTCTGATTACATCTCTAGAATGACTCTGATCACTAATGAGATGAAAGCATGTTGAGAAACTCTTTCTGAACAAGTAATCATTGAGAAGATATTGAGATCTTTAACTTCTCAGTTTGATTACATTGTGGTAGCAATTGAACATTCCAAATATCTGAGCACCATGAGAGTTGAAGAGCTGCAAAGTAGTCTACAGGCGCATGAGTTGCATATGACTGAGAGAACTTCTGAGAGGGAAGTAGAGCAGAAGGCTCTAAAAGTAATTTCTGGTAAGAAGTATCAGAAGCAGACTTGGTCAGAAGCCAGGAAGAAAACTAATGGTGGTCAAAGGTCAGAAGCTTCAAACTCTGATAGGCAGAAGAATATCCAGAAGGGAAAAGAAAAGTCTGATAAGAAGAATGTTCAATGTTACTGTTGCAAGAATTTTAGTCACTATGCCAAAGATTAATGGTCGAACAAAGAAAGGAAGTCAGAAGAAGCAAATATAGCCAGAGGAGAGTATGATGATGAACCTGTGCTATTTATGACTTATGAATCTGATGAGGAACCAGTGAAATTGTCATTTTCTGACTCTGAAGGGGAAGAAGATGACTCTGAATATTCTGACTCTGAATGAGTGTTTGAATATGAGTCAGAATCAAAACATGACACTGAAGATTCTGAAGATGAGTCAGAAGATGATGACTCTGGAAACTCCGAAGGTGAGTCAGATGAATATGAGTCAGAATCAGAAGATGACGCTGAGGATGAGTCAGAAGATGACGACTTTGGAAACTCCAGAGGTGAGTCGGATGGTGAATCTGATTCTGATCTGGATTTTGATGATGATCTAGAATCTGGTGGTGATGATGCTTCTAGAAGGGGAAACTCTAAAGATGTAGGTTCTGGAGGACAAGCTTCTAAAAATGATCATGTTTCTGGTGGAAATCATGACTCTAAGCATGGACCTTCGGAAGCAGAAGCTTTTGAAGGAAATTTAACCTTTGACGGGGATCATGATTCTGAAAGTGGAACTTCTAAAGGCAGAGGTGATCCAACTTTTGAAGATGGTATTTCTGAAGGTAGTGGCTCTGACTCTGACTCCGATGGTGATTCAAACTCTGGAAATTTTCAAAACTCTGAAGACAGTCAAGATTCTGGAGAAAGTCCAATTTTTGAAGCAAGAACTTCTGAAGGGGAAGTTCTGGTGTTCGGGGTTCTGAAGTTCAAATTCAGAGGCAACAAAGAGTCAGAAGCATCCCAAGAAGATTTGCAGAGTTTGACATGTTACAAGACACTGAAGTAGACTCCGAAGGAAAAGTTATTCAGTGTGCAATGTTAGTAGACTCTGAACCCGTGAGTACGGAAGAAGCTCTTAAGCAGCAAGTCTGGTTGCAGGCCATGAAAGAAGAACTTGATGTTATAGAGAGAAGCAAGACATAGAAGCTGACAGAACTTCCAAAAGGCAAGAAAGCCATCAACATTAGATGGATTTTCAAGTAGAAGCTAAAGCTAGATGGATCAATTGACAAACACAAAACAAGATTAGTAGCAAGAGGCTTTCTATAGAAGCCTGGACTGGATTACTCTGAAGTGTTTGCACCTGTAGCGAGACATGAAACAATCAAACTAATGATTGTAATAACTGCTAACATAAATTGGCCGATGACGCATTTAGATGTAAAATATGTATTTTTGAATGGTCCATTACAAGAAGAAGTATACGTGTCACAATCTCCTGAATTTGAGAAAAAGAATCAAAAAGAGATACTGTTCAAATTGCACAAAGCCTTGTATGGATTGATAACTTATTGAATAAGAACATGAAATAACAATTTAATTAACAATTAAGTTAAGAAAGAAAAGAAAGTATTGATAATTAAAATAAAAGATAAATAATATATATATATATATATATATATATATATATATATATATATATATATATATATATATATATATATATATATATATATATATATATATATATATATATATATATATATATATATATATATATATATATTCAAATTTTATTTATTATAAGAAGGGAAGACCCGACTTTGACCTATTAATATTTTAATTAAAAGAATATCCATAATTGAGTTAGGACATTCTTAATTAATTAAATAATATTAAAAATTGACCGAAAAAATAAATAAAAACATACATTGAATTGAATGTGTCTGACTAGTAAAATGCATCCGTTTTATTAAAAAAAAATTATCAATAATTAACTAAATAGCACATAAAATGTATCCGTTTAAAAATGTGTATATTCATGACCCATTTTAAAAAGTTTTTAATTTCAAAGTTTTACCAAAAAAAAAAAAGTTTAATATACACTTTTTTATACCGAAACAATAGCCGATTAATTATGAATAAAAATATGATTAACTTATTTAATTATGTAAATTAATTATAATTTTTTCAGCATGATTTAAATCTATCATTTATTTATTAAGTTAATCATATTTTTACTTTAAATCTATCATATTTTTACTCATAATTCGTTGGATATTGTAAGGGTGTAAAAAAATTGTATATTAAATATTTTTTATGATTAACTTAAGAAATAAAATTATGATTAATTTACATAGTTTTGATTGTCAATTAAATTAATTACATATTAGCACGTAACTTACGATATATCATTGTTGTTTAAAATATATTCAATTATATCGGCTAATATAATTTTAATATGTAAAAATATGGGAAAAAACTACTAAATAAAATTTATTTGATTAAATTACATAAGAAGTAAAATTACTTACAGGGGAGTTTCCTAATATTTTCAAAATTGTATTCTGTACAGTGAATTTTTGAAAAGTAATCATAAGGCAATAAATTTAGTATTTTTTAACAATCCATTAAAGAGTAATCCTATATATCCATTGTATTTGGATATTAGTGTAATTTTTTTTTAAAAGTTTTAATTATTAGAAAGCTCAGCCTCTAGTCATATTTGATAAGAACAAAAAACTTTAAAACTAAAAAAAAGGAGAAAAACAATCAAGACAAATTTAAAAAATTAGATTTTGATCTAACGATCATAATTTACTCATCTATTTTCACATAAAATAATCTCTCTCTTATATATAAGTTTGCAAACACAAGAACTAAAATAAAAAACAATCATCATTAAGAAAACAAAGAACATATATATTTTCAAGCATGGTGGTTGCTACTAACGGTTCTCCTTTGGAACAATATAATGACACAAAAATACCTCTTTCAAATCTCTCATACAATTCCATTGTCAGTGTTGACAGGTATTACATTATCAATGTTATATTATTTTTCTATGTATATTTATTTATTATACGTTAATTTTTTATTTTGTTTTAATTTATTGATGAATATCAATGTTTTTTTTAATAGGGGTGATCCAGTGGGATTCAGTACATTTTGGGAGAAATTGAGGGAAGAAGCTAAAGTGGAGATCAAAGGAGATGAAGTTATGAGTTACTTTGGTGATGCAAACTTGTGTTGGTACATGTTACCACAAATGAGGAATGCAATATTAAGGCTTCACAAAGTGGTTGGGAATGCTAACACAGAAGATAAGTATATAGTGTTAGGGAATGGTTCTTCTGAAGTTTACTTAGCTCTTTTGTATGCACTCTCTACTGAAAAACCCTCTGATATTCCCATCAATGTTGTTGCTGCTGCTCCTCATTATTCGGTAATTAATTTATCTTTTACTCTATTAACTTAGCTGATTAACCTTGTTTAATTTAAACTTTTTTTTTTTAAAACTTAATTTAAGATTGTTAAAAAGTTTGTTATACATTCTTTTGAATTATTAGATGAATTATTAAATAATTTATAAATTTCTTAGAAATTTGTAGAATTAATATATTTAATAATAATTTTTAATTTAACAGTTAGATTTTAATTGATAACTTTTAATCATTATAATTAAGTATTTAGTCGAGTAAGTCAATACACAATTATTTAAGTAGTAAGTTTTAATTTCTTCGTTGTTTATTATTATTATTATTATTATTATTATAATAATAATAATAATTATTATTATTATTATTATTATTATTATTATTATTATTTTAAATTGCTTTTGACTAAAGAATAAACCTAGGAATGAAAATAGGAAAAGAAGGAGAAAAATATTGAATTATTGTTAACTATTAGTTTTTTTAAGACGGTGTTTGTTTCTATCGAAAATACATGGTTATATTTAAAATAGTTTATTGGAGTGAAATGAATTTTAATATTTTCTATAATTCTCAAAGTTTTTATTCTCATATAAAAAGTGAGAGTCTCCATTTTTGAAAATTTACATAATTTTTTTTTTAAATATAACTGTCAATATTTTCAAGAACATCAAATTGTATACTAATTAATTAAAAAAAAAACCATTCATATCAATTTTTGAATTTATTATAACCAAGAAACATTTAAAATTACTTCCCAAATGGCTTGATCTATAGCTAACCCTAGAAAATAAATGATGAGAATTTAGTGTTTATGTTTAATTTGTAGGATTACGAAGGTGCGACAGATATGCTTCAATCAAAGCTATTTCAATGGAGTGGTGATGCTTCTGTGTATGACAAAGATGAACCTTACATAGAGGTTGTGACCTCTCCCAACAACCCTGATGGAGCTCTGAGAACACCTGTGGTGAAATCTGATGCTGAAGGGAAGGTTATCTATGACTTGGCCTATTATTGGCCACAATACACTCCCATTAATCACGAGCTTAACCAAGATATTATGCTCTTCACATTCTCCAAATGCACCGGTCACGCCGGTTCTCGTATCGGGTGAGTCTACGAGATCGATCTCCGCAGTTGCAATTTTGTTGTGAAGCCTGTTTATTTCTTCTCACATATTAGTTTTTTTTATGAAGGTGGGCTCTTGTGAAGGACATTGAAATTGCAAAGAAGATGGTAAAGTTCTTGCACCTAAGCTCCATTGGTGTGTCGAAAGAATCCCAAGTTCGAGCTACTAAGATTATTGAAGTGATTTGTGATGGATACCAAAATTCTAATTCCACTCCATCGGATCGTCTCTTTTTCAATTATAGCAAAAAGCTGATGAAAGATAGGTGGGAGAAACTCAAGGCTGCTATTGAGAAAAGCAAGGTTTTTACCTTGCCCAAGTATCCAACCGCCTATTGTCACTTCACTAAGGAAATAACCGAGCAGTACCCTGGTAATGTATCTCCACTTCTGACACGATACTAACACAGACACTGACACGCTGTGACACAGAACATTCAGTACGCGAGAAAATGAATATATATCACGCTTATGTTCTTAAACATCTAGTTTTAGAGTTTTTCCACTTCTTATACACTTTTTTTTTTTGGAAAAATTCCTATACAGCTTTTGCTTGGTTGAAGTCTGTGGAGGGCATAGAAGATGGGGAGAGTTATTTGGAAAAACTGAAGATTCTTACAAGAGGAGGGAAACAATTTGGTGTCGATCCGACGTATGTTAGGATAAGCATGATTGGCACAGATGATGAGTTCATTGAATTGGTCACAAGGTTGGCAAATGCTAAAATAGAATGATGTTGGATACTTTAAGACTTTGTTATGTTGTGCCATATTGAGTTCGAATTTCAAAATAAATCTATACACACCATTTTTGCTATTAAGATTGATGATATGCAATAGAGGATGTGTGAGACAAAGATGGACTCTTCTTTATATCTTTGAGTAACATTTTGAAATATATATATAAGATATTTGTCATTATTTTTCATATCGTTACATGGCTCTTGTATCATTTTAAGATAAGACCAATTTCTTTATCACATGAGGTGTGGCTTTCATTGTTAATGTAATGCTCTTCAATTTTGATTTTGGATGATGAGGTTTTGCGAGTTATAATATATTTTTATCTTTTTCTTAGTTTCACCGTGGTTTTTGTTCATGCTCTTTAAACTTTTTAAAGAGATATGTTATTGACAAAGTTTTCATATTTATGGATTGTTTATGGCAATATCATTTAGTTTCAAATTTTAGGTCAAACATCTAAAAACTTTGTTTGTTAAATCCTTATTAGAAATAGTTTTATCCAAACCTTCTAATTTTATACACGGGACATGTGAAAAGTTTTTGCATGTCCATGATGGTTTCAGTGTCATTAATGTGAAACAATTTACAGACTCTTGAGTGAGAGTTTATTTTAGAGCATTTTAGATCAAATATTAGTTTTGGTCTTTTAATTTTATCTTCGGATTTATTTTAATCCTTTCAATTTTAGAATTTAATCTTTTAATTCTTTAAATAGTGTCACTTTAATCTTTCTGTGAATCGATTAGTCAAAGTCAGAAAAATGCATTCAAGTAGTATTGTAATGTGTTAATGTGGATACAACATGAATAATGGTTCATATGTTGTTACTACCACCGGTAGAAAACAACATCAAACCTTCTCAATTCCTATAAAAAAACAATTGAACAGAGTTGAATGAGAATACAAGAATGGCAATCTTGACATGAGAATAGAGAAGAAAAATATGGAAGTAAGATGTATTATAAACCAAAGAAAATATAAATAATAGATGTTTGAGTTTGATATCTTCTCAATTTTCTATATTCGTGTGAAACACCTCTTCCCGAGCCTACACGTTGAACTCCAATGAATCTCTGGAAACTTGATTTCTGCACAGTTTAATGTTTGAATAGTGCAATTCTCTCTCAACTGAATTAGTTGCTAGTTACATTACTTTAATTTACAAATTAACAAAGCAATTGCAGTATACTACACATAGCATAGTTGTTAATGGAAATTTGTATTTAAGATTGACAAAGCTTTTGGTTGAGATAAACTTGTATTAAATCCATAGTTACCAGCGTGTGTAAATCAGAGGAAGATTGAGGATGGTGCGCAATGTAGAAGAGAGTGGAAATACGAACTTGTATTAAATTCATAGTTGTTGGAGTATAAGGTTAAAGATGAAGATGAAAGAAGAAGAAGAGAGAAAGAGAAGAGAGAAAATAGTTGTAACAAACTTTTGGAGAGAGAGAAACTCTATTGTAAAAAATTATAAATTCACGTTCTACTAAAACTAGTTACACCAAGGTATTTAAATACACCAATGAAACCTGCCACGGAGAAAAAGTTAAAATGTTAAACAAAGTTAACTGACACGTAGACATAACAAACTATTACTACTATTTAGAAGTTAAACACAACTTTTGGAACAATCACCTTGAAAGCTAAGCAACACCGTTGCTGGAACAACAACAACAACCTTAGAAGCTTCTGCTTATGAGTCAGAACATTACTTCTGAATATGGATTACTTCTAACACCATCCCTTAATTCATATTCAGCTAACTAAACTCCACAACACTAATTTCATCCCTCAAATTGACAAAGTGTTCAGTATTGACAGCGTTCGTCAGAACATCTGCAAGTTGCTTCTGGGTGTTACAATGAATAACTTCTAGCACCCTATTATGTACTTGATTCCTCAAAAAATGGAACTTTGTGTCAATGTCCTTGCTTATTCCATGCAGCACTAGGTTCTTGGCAAGGCTTATGGAAGATTTGTTATCAATCATCAACTTCACAGGTTTGTTAACCTTGATCTTCATATCCTGCAACAAATTGCGATACAAAGCGCAGCAGAAAATAAATTTTTTCTTTTAGTGATTCTTACGAATGGACATGATCAGTGATAGAAACAGTTATCTCTTGTGGCGATTAAAACTTTGATGCAGAATCGAATGAGTGATCACAAACGTTGATGAAGAACAACGCCTCTACTCAGTCCACACGAACAAAATCCTCTCCAGTCTCAGGGATAGCTGCTAATTTTGAGTAAGAGAGAGAAAGACAATATGGTTATGATTTCACAGGCCTAATTTTCATCAAGACTGAATGCTTCTGCACAAGGGTTCTATTTATTGAACCACTTGCGTAGGCTGCAAGCCAAAAAGCCCACTTAAGTGCATGTGCACCCTACCTTATGGTGTACTGTATTTCACTTAAGCTCGTGGTGTCTTACCATATTTGGTATTCTACTTACGTATCTTACGGTGTTCCTTATTTACTCTATCTCTCATCAATCTGTTCTTATGCGTGTGACCCTATAGGTTCTCGCGATGTTGGAAATTATATTAAATCACATTTAACATAATAAACAATGAGCGGTATCTAGCAACACATCACTGCTACCCAAGTTACGAAAATGTCATGTGATTTGACAAAACCTTATCGTGATAATACTTATGTGTACCGTCACCCTTTTTCTCATATGTTTATATTGAACACAAGGCATATACCTTGTCACCCTTGTCCAGTACAATATTGGGACCTTAGACATTTATCATGTTACACGGGATGGACAAATTCTATCTAGGTCACTCATGTCCCTCAACATGCTTTGTGGAGTATCCATCAACTGTCTTTATGATCATCCAGTTATGGATAATGTTTAATCATCAATAAAGTACTCGACTCTACATCTAGGGTTCATAGTGGTTTCAGGTTGAAGGGTGGTATACACCACTTATCACCATGAGAATAACTTATGATACTTTGCATAACATTCTATATAATATTCTCATAGCGGGTCAATCCAGTATAAATATTACTCCTAATATTCATACCTATGTCAAGACTTGATAATTCCTTATCCATGATCTATGAGATATGATCATCAATCTATCTATATAAGTCTCAATGATTTAACGTTATCCAAATTCACAATAAATCTTGACTATGGATGATTTAAGAATATGTCCTTATGTTTAATGAAGCCTCATGATTAAGTCGCACTTAACATTTTATTAAACAAACTGACTATTCTAGGGACTTTATTATTTTGTAAAAACAAACATAATAAAGACATTTTATTATTAATAAATAATTCGATACAAGTACCAAAAGTATTGGCCTCTAAGACTTACACCAACAGATAAAGTACATGCAATGTACTCAGCTTCACAAGTTGACAAGGCAACCACAAGTTGCTTCTTGGAGCATCAAGAAATGGGACTTCCAAAATACTTGAAAAAATATCCATAAGTACTTTTTCTGTTATTTCTATTTCCACACTAATCAGAGTATGAATAGCATATCAGTTCTTATTTAGATTTAACACCATAATGGAACAACACTTTTTACCTCAGAGTCCCTTTAATGTACCTCAGTATCCTGGCAGCAGCTTGGTAATGTGGCAACTTTGGTTAGTTCATAAACCAACTCACCATTCCAACCGCATAGAAAATATCAAGTCTGGTGTTACACATATATCTTAATGAGCCAACCAACAGTTTAAAAGTTGTAGCATCTACATCATCACCCCAGCATCAGAATCCAACTTGTGATTCGTCTCAACATTTGTGATTGTAGTCTTGCAATTTACTAACTCAAATCTCTTCAGAAGTTCAAGTTCATACTTCATATGATGCAAAATGATACCTTTCTAAGAGCACATAATCTCCATCCCTAGAAAACATACCATATTTCCCAAATCGGTCATTTGAAATCCCTTTATCAACACCTTCTTGAACTTGACTATCTCATCAGAACAACTTCATGTTATCAATATGTCATCAACATAGAGACACATCAGAATCATATTGCTTTCAGAAGTATGTTGAACATAAACACCATACTCCATCTTACACTTTCTGAACCGTTGCAGCTTGAAAAATGAATCAATTTTTAGATTCCAAGCTCTAAGAGCTTATTTCAGTCTATACAACACTTTATGTAACATGTACATCATCCCTTTCTGATTATTTTTCACAAATCCAAGAGGTTGTGAAACATATACCTCTTCCTATAATGGACCATTCAAAAATGCAGATTTCACATCCAGAGGCTTCAGAGGCCAAGTTTTATTAGCAGCTATAGCAATCATCAATCTAATTGTTTCATGTTTAGCTACAGGAACAAGCACTTCAAATTAATCTAATCCAGGTTTTTGTAGAAATCCTCTTGCTATTAACCTTGCTTTGTGTTTGCCAATTAATCTATATGGATTTCGATTTATCTTGAAAACTCATCTGACGCTGATGGCTTTCTTCTCTTTTTGAAGCTCAGTCAACTCTCAAGTCTTGTTTCTTTCTATAGGCTCAACTTCTTATTTCATGGCCTTCAGCCACACTTTCTTCTTGAGAGCTTCTTCAGTGCTCAATAATTTAGAGTCTCCTCTGAATGACTTCCCCTTTAAATCCTATATCAGTATCTTGCAACATGTCAAACTCTGTAAATCTTCTTGGTATTTGTATGATTCAATGTGGCCTCTGGACTTGTTTATAATCTCCTTCCAATTTTGGAACATTATCATATGCTGGACTACCTCCAGAAGTTACACCACCTTCAAAAGCTCCACCTTCAGGTTCTTGACCACCAAATTCTGGACCATCATCATAATCTGGATCAGAATCAGATTCACCTTCAGAATCAGAATGATCTTCTGACTCTAACTCGTATTTAGAGTCTCCTTCTAACTCTGACTCATATTTAAAGTCTCCTTATGGCTCTGACTCATCTTCAAAGTCTCCTTCAGACTCTGACTCATCTTCAGAGTCTCCTTCTAAATCTGAC